ACATTTTTTTGCCAACCTTTCAAATTCAAGCTAAATTTACAAAACAAAAACTAATTTTACAAAACTATTTTATTTAGTTTTCAAAACTTAACCATAAATCCGTTAAGACATTGACCAGAAGTAGATAACGAAACAAAGAAACCTCGATAGTAAAGACGGTCCTATATCTACACCATAGCCATTGACTCGAAATAAATCTTAAATGGGAAGGAAGTACCATCAAAGTTGGTAACCCAACAAAGAAGAAATTGAATTAAAGCAGGCCAAGTAGGACCCCTTGCCCTTTTCTCCGAACATGATAAAAGAACCAAAAAAACAAGAACCTTGGAAGATGGAGTGAAGTTTCCTTACAACGTCTTGTCACGTTGAGCATTATTGTAACGTAATTGCACATCTTCTTGTGCACCAACAGAGCTCATATATATAAACCCTTAATACCCATCTCCAATTCCGTCAATGTTCTTTAGATCGAAAGTAATTAATCACAATGCCGAGTCAATTCCCCGTTGTCAACTTGAAGCTCGCCCTGACGCTCCTCCTCGTCGATCGGATATCGATTTCCTCGATTCTATTCTCCTTCGTCGATCGAATACATGACCTTATTTCTCAACCTTGGTCACTATTTCATTCACCCCCAAAAGAAAAGGCTTCCCCGCAAGGAAATTCCTTAGAATCTGAGGCCACCCAACACAAAAACAGCTCAATCAGCAAAGAAGAAGTGAAATTTGTGATGGAAAAGCTTGAGTTTTTTTGCAGCGATGAGGAAATCGAGGAATCGTGGCTTGGAGGTGAGGAAATAGGTGCCATTTTTTATGAGAGTGAGCCAAGCTTGGAGGAGTTGAAGCAGACATTTAATGTGTTCGATAAGAATAGAGATGGGTGTATTGATGCGGATGAGCTGCAGTCCGTGCTGGGGTTGCTTGTACCTAATCAAGGCGTGTTCATCCATGATTGCCATAGAATGATTGCAAGATTTGATCATAACAAAGATGGTAAAATTGATTTCAATGAGTTTGTTAAGTTTATGGAAATTGCCTTGTCTTGAATTTTCAAATATGAACATAGGTGTTTCAATTTCCATTTCCATTTCCATTGTCATGTCCGACACTTTCATCGCCCTTTGATGTCTAGGGGTTCTAATGTGTCGACATAAGAGATAAATTAATGTTTTCTATAACATTAAAAAGATGTGCAAAGTATGAGAAAAGTCAAAAAGATGTCACCAATGTCAACATAACATTAAAAATAAATTTTAATTATTGATATGGAACATTTTATCGATGTTTTTAGTAAAGTAATAATTCTTCATGCATTCACATTTTATCTTGACCTGTACAAGTCATTAGTTGTTTGGAGTTTTAAAACAGACTTGACCTTGACCTTGAGGAAGAACGTGGTCTTCGAGCAGTTCAATTTTATTAGACGAGACGTATTTGAGCTCTGGGTGAACTAACTTTTTTGTTCTTTGGACTTCGTTAGCTTCCTTTTATCTTGTAGTGAAGGATTGATATCCTAGTTTGGAGGTGGGATCTCGTCGTATATCATAGAATAGTATGATGTCATCTCTTTAAGCATATATGTATAATGTTAATAGATGACCCTTCTATAAAAAACTACAAAGTCAAAAAGTTTGGGGGAGTGACTACATGTGTCACTCGGCTACTGAGTCTACTTATGAGGATTATTAGCAAGTTGTAACGCTCCATGCTTAGGATTTAAAATCTGGATTCGGTATTTAATGACCCTGACATTCCCCTACATCTTCAATGACATGGTCACGTTACTTCTCGTTTCTAAGAGTGAAGACTATCCTCATAGATCAACACTGAAGTTCCTATGACTGAAGCCACTGAAAAGGTAAGTATATCTCGTTGGTATAGATAGTAATTTTAAATTCTTTAAATATTTCTTAGTCATCCTACTCTTAGGGTCTCTCTCATTCGAATGTGATTTCTATCCATTTATATACCTCTCATTTACTTCAGCGCCACATGCCTACATGTTTCCATCTTGGTTCGTCTCGAACCACATTTTACTAAGAGAGGTACTTCTCTAATACCATTTGTAATGGCCCACGCCCACTGCATTCTCTGCGACATGGTTAAATTACTTTTAGTTTTTAAGAGTGAAAACTATCCCTATAGATTTATATGAGTCGTTTCAGCATGTTTTATGCTAGCTCACATGATTCTCACGAAAATTTCCTGGAAGTCACCTAACTTAAAATTGCTCTAAGCAAAATACACTTAACTTTTGAGTTCTCATGATTGAGACACTGAAAAAGAAGGTATCCCATGACTATTGCATGCAAGTTAATCATTCACTCGTTAACTATAGTTTGATCAAAAGTTTGTTTCCTTTGTAATAATTTTGTACCTTTAAGTAGTACTCATCTTCTAATGACCAATTTATTTATGATTGTATAGCTACCATATTTTCCTATTATAAATAAGGCCGCTACGGCATACCTGACATGTCTAGTATGCGTGAAATTTTTTATTTAAAATATTTCATACACAATATTATGAACTTAAACGTTCCTAAAATCTATTTTAAATAAAACTAAACATCTATGGAATAACAAAAACAAAATAACATAATTTAACGAGCAAGTCATCAAATCAAGTCAACAGCAAAACCACCCACTTACTTAATTGGCCTAAACCGAAGTCAGTGTATTCCTAGTTCTAGCTTAAAGTTGCTCCTTAAATTCTAATTCTATCTAAAGAGTCCCAAAATCATAATTTAGAATTCAATTATAGAAATGGACTCCCATTACCTAAAATAATCAAAACTTAGCTCTAAATACTTTAAATTAGATAAAAGTAGAACCTTATATTTTTTTTAAAAATCTATATATATCATATAATTTTAGTTTTAAAAAAACAGAAAATTTATGGCCAAACAAACCAAGAATGGAAGCTAAAATGTTTATAAAATTTATTATTTAAATACTTTCATCAAGGGATTCAAATAATTTCGAAGTTTAATTTTTAGAACTTAAAGTCAAATCTATGAATTTTTTTTCACAACATAAGGGATAATTTTATATAATTAATATAGAGAGTCACAATCTCATGCCAATTTTTGTTATTTTAGTTTTCCACGTCAAAATGTCAAATTGTCAAGATGACTGAGTGGTCTGACATTTTTATGTAGGTTTCTTTTATATAACAAATAAAAAGTGCTTTTACCTTACCTACTCTTAAAAACAATTATTCTAAAATTTTTAGGCATGGATGATAGTTTAGATTTGTTAAAAGTTCGATGTTCTTATTGTAAATCCGGAGTAAACAAGTGGCATATGAGTGAATCATGACCATATTTGAATGGAAGCGGATGTTGTGTTGAATTCATCTAGATTTTGAATCCTAGACATAGTGTGTTACCGTTATCATCTTAAAAAAAAAAAAAAATGATTCAGTTTTTTTTTTCTTAAGCTAGAATAAAAAAAAAAACACGTGAGGGGTAGAAGGTTTGTACTTAGATGATGTGAGCTGAAATATCCCACTCGTGTCTCCATAGCCATATGTTGTCCCCTGTCACAACATTTGGCCACATTTCACCCAATCCTGGTTGGACTATGTTCCCCTGACCAATTATGATCGCTGATGTAAAAGCATGACATACCAAAGAATTTGAATTGAAAAATAAGATCTGCTTCACATCAAAGGGGCTGCCAACACATTGTGTAGCGCCGCCATTGTATAGGTTTGGCCACACACCATGGATACGGAATCTATTACTTGGGTCTTGATACCATTCTGGCTTATTCTGATCACTACATGCTGTTGGTTGCCATTGAATTACGACTGGCAAGTAGTCATAGTTGTTGTTAAGGATATTTAGTAATAAATTATAGTTTACCATATATATTATATTTGATATTTTATTATAAGGCAAATATCTAATATTTGCCTTATTACCATCAGTATCTTTCAATTTATTGTTATTACCATAAGTATCTTTCCATTCATTGTTATTTCCATTTATTACTGTTTCTATATCATTGTAATTTATTTGATTATAAATAAGATAACTTTCACACCATTTAGGTGTGGTGGGTTAATCAAACATTCTCAGTTGTTATCTCCATCACAACTCACTATTAACATCAGTATCACAACTCACTATTAACATCCGTCACTCTTTGATATTGAGGTTGATATCAAATGCTTGTGAGTGATATAATAGAAGGAGGCTATTTATAGTAAGTCAATGTGATTGCTCCTCACTATCTTCCAAATGGCTGCTATCAGAGTTACTAAATTAAAATAATAAATAAAGTTTTTAAAGAAATTATCTTATTAGCATCTGTCACTCCATTTTAACCTTGTAAATATTGACTTTCTACAAAATTCTTCTTTGATCAGAGAGGTAAATATTGACTTTCTACAAGATTCTTCTTTGATTAGAGAGAGAAATGAGTGTCAGGAAAGACGGAAAGACGCTGACCTCGAAGGGGTAGATTGTGAGATCCCACATCGATTAAAGAGGGGAACGAAACATTATTTATGAGGGTGTGGAAATCTCTTCCTAGCCGACACGTTTTAAAAACTTTGAGGGAAAGCCTGAAATGACAAACTAAAAGAGTACAATGAAAAACTGTACTCTCTCAACACTAAGAATAGAGAAGAAAAGGTGTACTCTCTAAACATGAAGAATAGAGAAGAAAAGGTGCTCTCTCTAAACATGAAGAATAGCCACGAGTGGAAGATTTTGACAAAAGTAGAAGGTAACTTCCTACAAGAACCCAAAACACTACCATTTTTAGATTACCTACAAGAGCCCATTTCTCGTATTATAACCATCTCTTGGAATGATTCTTTGAAACAACCAACAATAATCATCCAAAATAACCCAAAACTGTCCCATTTTTAGCATTGCATTAGAACGTTTCAAACCGCAGCCTATATTCCCAAACTCCCTTCTAATGCATACATCCACTACAAATAACCACACTCTCAAAATCCTCTCTCCCACATTAGATTAACAAAGGCGTTGCATCGGCCTGCGTTAATTCTCCCACATTAGATTAACAATGGCGATGCGTCGGCCTATGTTATTGCTAGTGCTTGTGCTCATAGCCTTCTCTCACTTTTCGATGCTCACAACCTCGAAAAACAATAATAAGGTCCCAAAACCCAAAAAGACAAAGCCCAAATTTCTAAAACCAAACAATCCTAATCCCGCCTTTGAGCGTTTTACTGTAGAGATCCATAACGACTTGCGTATGTTCATATTGGATGCCCACTGCTCCTCGAAAGATGATGATTTAGGGTTACATATATTGTTCCCAGATGAGGAACAAGATTGGTCATTTCATGATAATTGGTTAGGCACTACCGAATTTCATTGTAGATTGGAGTGGCAATATGGGCTTTTAGAATTTGATGCCTTTCATAGCAACACTGATAATCTTTTGATCGATTATTGCGCCAACGCAACCTGCATTTGGAGTGCGAGACAAGATGGGGTTTATTTGAACAATCAAGATGACGATCTTGTTTTTTATGAGTATTGGGATATGCTTGGATAGGGGCTATACACTAAAAGCATGAAATCAATCATTTTTATTTTTATTTTTATTTTTTCATTCCCATTTGTCCTCACATTCGTCTGTATTTCAAGTACATATTACATTCTTCTATTATATACTACATTCCTCTATCTTTGGTATTCTTTCCATTTACTTTTAATTTCATGTGTGGTGTACTAATAAAGTAAACTACAACACCAATCTCCCTTACACTCATTTATTTATATTAAAATTTCACATGCGGTAAGCAATTAAAATACATAAGCAATTAAAATACACAATCAAACCTGACAACATGAGTTTCAAAACACTTGAAATATTATATAGAAGGAATCTCTTATCGAATAACAATTGCCCCATTTCATTCCATTCAAGTAGTTTAGAGCCGGTTGAAAAGTAAATTTTCTGATGGTGGCTGTCGGACCATTTCGAGATCAGATGAGTAGCTTAGGTCTAATACATTTAGAACCTTTTCCATCATTTTTTTTTATACTGTCCGAGAGATGTTTTTGACACTTTTGGATGTGTTTTAAGGCGATATTATGCTAATTTTTGGTGACTACTGACAATTGGTTGTCGATGTGGGAGAGTTTTAGGAGTTGCGTTTTAGGAGTTGCATAGAGGGTTGTCCTTGGGTGGGAGAGTTTTAGGAGTTGCATACAGGGCTGTCCTCGGGAGTTTTAGGAGTTGCATGGAGTTGCATGTCCAGAGTTGCATGTCACAAAAAGGGTTGTCCTGGAATACATAGTTTTTGTATTTCGTTCCTTGATTCCCATTTTATTATAAACTTTTGAACAATACTTTGATTTGTAAAGGCTTTTGAATTTGCCTTCTTAAATCTAGGGTGGTAAAAAGAGGCCAAATGCAAAACAATTTGAAAAACATAGAAGGCAAATATCTAGATATGGTTGACCGTTCACTATAAGGCAAATATCTAGATATTTGCCTTACATTACGGGTTACCATATTTGCCCTCTTATTAAAGGCAAATATATTGCATTCATTTATTATTCTTTCCTTTTATTACTATTTCCATAATATTTGTAATTTACCATATGTCTGTATCCTGAAAATGATTAATGATTATAAATAAGAGAACTCTCACCCCCATTTAGGTGGTGATTCAGCAACCATTAACATGGTATCAGAGCCCTTTCGGTTTAACAACCCTGATCCTTTCTTCTCTATGGCTTCCGAATTTTCTTATCATCTTCTTCCTTTCAATACTCTAATCCATATGATCACCATCAAACTTTCTTCCTCAAATTATCTTCTTTGGAAAAGCCAACTTCTCCCCCTCCTTGACAGTCAAGACATGCTAGGCTATGTCGATGGAACTATGGTTCCACCACCTCGCTTTGAACCAGAAACCTCTTCAACACTCAACCCCAAATATTTGGCATGGAGAGCAGCCGATCAACGACTTCTCTGTCTCCTGCTCTCTTCTCTCACTGAGGAAGCCATGGCTGTTGTCGTTGGTCTCCCTACTGCACGTGATGTTTGGCTTGCGTTGGAAACTACATTCAGCCATCAGTCGAAAGCTCGTGAACTGAGACTCAAGGATGACTTGCAGTTGATGAAACGTGGCACCAAACCTGTTGCTGAGTATGCCCGTGCCTTCAAAAAAATTTGTGACCAACTTCATGCCATTGGCAGACCGGTCGAGGACATTGATAAAGTGCACTGGTTCCTTCGTGGACTCGGCACCGAATTTTCAGCTTTTTTCTACTGCTCAGATGGCTCTTACCTCTATCCCCTATTTTGCAGATTTAGTCTCTAAAGCTGAAAGTTTTGAGTTGTTTCAGCTCTCCCTTGAGTCCTCTACCTCCACCCCTACAGCATTCACAGTCACTAATCGTGGTCGCACCCATGGAAGCCACCCTGCTTCCTTTACCAACCAGCGAGGTCGTTCTTATTCTCACAAAAACAACTCTTCTAATCGAGGACGAACCCACTCAAGTCAAGGTCGTCGACCACCTCACTGCCAAATATGCCGCAAAGAGGGCCATTATGCTGACCGCTGCAACCAACGGTATGTTCGACCTGATTCTTCTCATGCTCACCTTGCTGAAGCCTTTAACACGTCATGTTCTATTGCTGGACCCGATACTGCTGATTGGTTTCTGGACACTGGAGCTTCGGCCCATATGACTGCCGACCCATCTATTTTGGATCAGTCTAAAAATTACACGGGTAAGGACTCTGTGATTGTAGGAAACGGTGCATCCCTACCCATTACCCACACCGGTACTCTTTCTCCTGTTCCAAATATTCACTTGTTAGATGTCTTGGTTGTCCCTCACCTCACTAAAAATCTTCTTTCCATAAGTAAATTAACGTCTGATTTTCCTCTCTCCGTTACATTTACTAATAATCTTATTACTATCCAGAATCGTCAAACAGGAAGGGTGGTGGCAACCGGTAAAAGAGATGGAGGGCTATATGTGCTGGAGCGCGGCAACTCTGCTTTTATTTCAGCCCTTAGAAACAAATCTTTACGTGCTTCATATGATTTATGGCATGCTCGTCTAGGTCATGTGAATCATTCTGTTATTTCTTTTTTAAATAGAAAATGTCATCTTTCTCTTACGTCTTTATTGCCTTCTCCATCATTATGTAATACCTGTCAGCTTGCAAAAAGCCATCGATTGCCTTATTCCCGCAATGAACGTAGGTCGTCTCATGTGTTAGATCTTATTCATTGTGATCTTTGGGGTCCTTCTCCCGTCAAATCAAATTCGGGTTTCCTTTATTATGTTATTTTTATTGATGATTATTCTCGATTCACTTGGTTTTACCCTTTAAAATTTAAATCTGATTTTTTTGATATTTTTCTTCAATTTCAAAAATTTGTGGAAAATCAATATTCTTCTCGTATCAAGGTATTTCAAAGCAATGGTGGTACCGAATTTACTAGTACTTGTTTCAAAACTCATTTACGTAATTCTGGCATCCACCATCAACTCTCTTGTCCATATACACCTGCTCAAAATGGTCGTGTTGAGAGAAAACATCGTCATGTGACTGAGACTGGCTTGGCCCTTCTCTTTCACTCTCATCTTTCTTCTCGTTTTTGGGTTGACGCCTTCAGCACTGCAGCTTATATTATCAACCGGTTGCCTACTCCACTTCTTGGAGGTAAGTCACCCTTTGAACTTCTTTATGGCTACACTCCACATTATGACAATTTTCATCCCTTTGGTTGTCGTGTTTATCCTTATTTGCGTGATTATATGCCTAACAAGCTTTCTCCCCGCAGCATTCCTTGTATTTTTTTGGGTTATAGTCTTGCTCATAAAGGGTTTCGCTGTCTTGATCCGGCCACCACTAAGCTATATATCACCTGTCATGCTCAATTTGATGAAACCCATTTTCCTGCTATCCCTAGCTCCCAGACCCAACCTCTTTCCGCTATTCCTATTTCAAATTTCTTAGAACCACATTTTCATCATATTGATTCATCCCCCCCTACCACTTCATCACCGCAAACTCCTCGATTCAGTTCATCCCCGTGTGATATTTGTTCTGACCTTGTAGATGAGTCTGTGCAGGTTGATACTTCTCTTGCAGGTTCCACTTTGCCACCCTCGACTTCTAATTCGACCTCTATTGAACCTCCTGTTGATTTCTCTTCTTTGGGCACTCATCCTATGATCACACGAGCCAAAGCTGGTATATTCAAGACTCGTCATCCAGCAAATCTTGGTATTTTGGACTCATCTGGACTTCTTTCTGCTCTTCTTGCATCCCCTGAGCCAAAAGGATTCAAATCTGCGGCTAAGAATCCTGCTTGGGTGGCTGCCATGGATGAAGAAATTCGAGCATTACAACAAAATGATACTTGGACTTTGGTTCCTCGCCCTGCCAACACCAACATCGTGGGCTCTAAATGGGTGTTTCGTATTAAATATTTGCCTGATGGATCTGTCGAGCGTTTCAAGGCTCGTCTTGTTGCCAAAGGTTATACTCAGGTTCCTGGTCTTGACTACACTTACACTTTCAGTCCGGTTGTCAAAGCTACCACTGTCCGTGTTGTGCTTTCTATTGCAGTCACAAATAAATGGCCTCTTCGACAACTTGATGTCAAGAATGCTTTTCTCAATGGAACTCTTATTGAACGTGTTCATATGGAACAACCTCCTGGGTATATTGATCCTCGATTTCCCACTCATGTTTGTCTATTAAAGAAAGCCCTCTATGGTTTAAAGCAAGCTCCTCGTGCTTGGTTTCAGCGTTTTAGCTCATTTCTTCTCACACTTGGGTTTTCTTGCAGTCGCGCTGACACGTCCCTTTTTGTCTTTCATCAGCAATCTAACATTATCTATTTGCTTCTTTATGTTGATGACATTATTGTTACCAGCAACAACTCATCTCTTATTGACAGCTTTACTCGCAAGCTTCATTCTGAGTTTGCTACCAAAGATTTGGGTTCTCTCAGTTACTTTCTTGGTCTTGAAGCTTCACCCACTCCTGATGGTCTCTTTATTAGTCAGTTAAAATATGCTCGAGATATTCTTACTCGTGCTCAGTTGCTCGATAGCAAACCAGTTCACACTCCCATGGTTGTTTCTCAACACCTGACTGTTGATGGTTCTCCTTTCTCTGATCCTACTCTCTACAGATCTCTTGTTGGCGCCCTTCAGTACTTGACTATTATGCGTCCAGATATTGCCTATGCTGTCAAATCTGTCAGTCAATTCTTGCATGCCCCTACCGTAGATCACTTTCTTGCTGTCAAACGTATTCTTCGCTATGTCAAAGGAACACTCCACTTTGGTCTTACCTTTCGTCCATCCACTGTTCCTAGTACGCTAGTCGCTTATTCGGATGCTGACTGGGCTGGTTGTCCCGATACTCGTCGTTCTACATCCGACTATTCTATTTATCTTGGTAACAATCTGGTTTCTTGGAGTGCCAAAAAGCAACCTACTGTCTCACGCTCCAGCTGTGAATCTGAGTATCGTGCTCTTGCCACAACCGCTGCTGAACTTCTTTGGGTTACGCATCTTTTGCATGACCTCAAGGTCCCTATTTCAAAGCAGCCCTTACTCTTATGTGACAACA